ATGGGACAGACCTGGCCACCTGCACATGGGAATCAGATGTGTTCACAATCACCCTCCCTCCAGTTCTGGCTGGGGTGAAGTAAACTTGGAGTGCAGAGAACAGGAGTCAGGATTTCCCTAGAGCAAAAAGTGGAGACCTCGGGAAGCCAGGGGAGGGTCCAGCCCACATGAGCCCAGGAGTCCCAAGGCCCCTGCACCCTGCCCAGCCAGCTAGCCAGCTACCCTCCTGGCGGCTGCCTAGCCTTCAGGAGCGCCCAGACTTAACAGCCAGAGGCGGCCAAATCATGTTTGGACAATGTCCATCCCCTGGATCTCTGCACAGCCTCACTCCTGAATTCCATCTGTGACGTCAAACCCTAGCAAATCACGGAAAAACAGATTATGTTCTGTAAACTCCATTCACTGGCTTTCCCTTCTGGTCAGGGTGTCTCAAGGGACTGTCCACCCACCCCCTACTCAGAGCCAGACCCCGATGACCTCCGCTGTGTCCCCACCATCTGCCTCTAGCATGCCACACCCTCCACTCCCCGGAGCGTAGATCTCTTTCCATTGCCTGGAGTGTTTTTTCCTTTGGTGTCTGGAAGGTTCTGGGCTACCAGCGTGGGAGGCTGGGCCCTTGATTTCCCACATGCATCAGGTGTTCTTGTAGATTTGGGCCATTTTTTCTCTGTCTCTGGTGCAGGGGACTGGCAGCTGCCTGAGGAGGAGGTGGAGGGTGGCATACCGCCTGCCCGCTCCTCCCTAGCCTGGATGCAGCCTGCCCCTCACACCCCGTCCAGGGCTGGACTCTTCTGCTCCAGTGGCTCCCTGCTCTGTGAACTTGATGATGGGGATCTAGAATGCTCTCTAAGGCTGAGGCCCAAGTGCTGGCATTGAGGCCCAGGACAGAGTCCCTGTCGTCCTTGTTGACGAGGTGGCCACTCAGTCCTCTTCCCGGCCACCCCTGGAGACCTAGATTTTTCCTTTTTCTTCTCACTGTGCCTGACCCTGAAAGCCGGTCCTGTGGAAAGCAGTAAAACGTAATTCTGTCTAACCTGTCACGACTCCAGCTGAGGCGAGATGAGATGTGTGTGTCTCGCGCCCGGCAGCTGCAGTGGGAGTAACCGGGCTGTCTGAGTGAGGGTTCAGCTGCCGGCTAAGTGGGGCACGGAGCACACAGATCCACAGGTCACCCTGTTTCTCCAGCGAGGGGAGCAGTGCTGCCTGCACTCCTTCAGGCTTGTGTTGCGGGTGCTGGACTGCCGCCTGCCGCCGGAGGGACTGGTGTCTGGGTCCAGAGGTGGGAGGCCAGTCAGGAAGTCTACTGGCCATGTGTCCTGGGCGCCTTCCTCCCAGAAGCCTCTGATGGCTGGCTGCCACCACCTGAGTGTTGGCAGGAAATGGGTCTCATCTCAACCCACAGGACAGCTGGCAGGGATTGGTGCTGGTCATACCCCCACTTACTGGAAGGTCGAGTGAGAAGGCAAAGTGATGAAGTGAGTTGCTTCCATAGCAGATCAAACCCTACATGCATCTTCTGTAAAAGAAGAATGATCTATCTACTTACCTATTAGAGAAAGAAGGAAGCCAAATAGCCACAGCAGCCAGGGCTGAACCCTGCTGAAGTCAGGAGCCAGGAGCTTCCTTCATCTGGGTCCAGACACTGGGGTCAGCTGCCACTGCTTTCCCAGGTGCATTAGCAGGGAGCTGGATGGGGAGTGGAGCACCTCGAACTCCTACTGGTGCCCATATGGGAGACTGGTGCTGCAGCAATGGTTACCATACCACAGCACCAGCCTCCCTACATGCATTCTTTACATTTAAAAAATATCAAATTTAATCTTGTTGAATTTAGCCAAAGACGGATCTATGTTCATGTATGCATAAACGAAGCAGAGGGAATCGGTAAATTGCAGAAAACCATTTTTTCGTTGTAGGAATTGGAACAGCACCAGCACCACCAGCCTCCCCTGCTGCCCCTACACTCACTCCCTGTGGCTTCTCTCTTAGGGTCAGTTACCTGCAGTCAGCCACTTGTCTAACTATGCTACATGGAAAGTGCCAGAAATAAGCAATTCACGTGTTATACATGACACATGGCTCTGAGGGTCAAGAGGGGGCCTCACCGTGTCCTGCTCAGTCCCCTCTGGGCTGGGAATGACCCCTTGCCCAGCGTGTCCACAGTCACAGGGTCGCGCTCGACCTCAGCCTCGTTTCCCTCGGTCGTGAGGCTGGCTGTCTTCCTACGGCACGTTGTCGTCCTCATTCTGTCCTCCTGCATCGAATCTATAAATTAAACCATATCACAGGGTGTCTGCGGGACAAACACAGCATCTAAAATGGAGGGAGATGCCTGGAGTTCCTAAAAGGGTAAAATTCGGTAGTGAAACAGAAGGAAGCAATGTCCAAGCATTCCTCAGATACAATTCACAGCTAGTTTAGGGTTGGAAATATCACTGGTTTCTCAAAAATGGCGGCAAACTAATGTGTAACGTGAAATCCGCCCTTCTAACCATTTTTACGTGTCCAGTTCTGTGACATTAAGGACATCTGCACTGCTGTGCGACCGTCTGCCATTCTGAAACGATAAGGCGGCTTTTAAAAACCTGCGTTCTGTTTGTTTTCTCTCTCATTTCCCGAGTCCAGCTAGCTCATCTTTTAGCCTTCATCTCTTCCAATTGTCGAGACAGTTTTTTCTCTTTCATCTGAGACAGAGATCCCTCCTTTTTTGGGAAGCGGCATTCCTACTGGGAACAAGCATTCCTCTTCACCGTCTGACTGATGTCAGGTGCAGTTGCAGCTGGGAGGACAGAGGCCACTGGCCACTTCCCAGAGTGGTCGGGTTCAGAGGTCGCTCACGTCTGATCCCTGGGCTGCTGAGCCTTCTGCCTCCTGAGAGGGGCTCCTGCCAGTGTGGGTTGAGCAAGGCCTCCCCAGGGGCCACCCTGCAGAGTGACCATGTATGCCTGATGCTGGTGACAGCCTCACTCCGCCCTGTTCCTCCTCACACCTGGCCCTGAACGCCAGTGGCGTGCTGGGGAGTATTAGCCCAGTGTTGACCTCCAGGGCGCCTCTAAGGCAGATGAGTCAGGAAGGGAGGTGGCCTCAGTATGCCCACCCACCCCCATCTGCCCAGCACCCAGTTTGATCATTCTAGGGGTACCCCCGAGGGAAATTGCTGCCTCTCACAGCTGCTCTCAGTACTACCAACCAGAATCACATGGATCTCAGGAACTCAGCCCCACCCTGCACAACACCCTCCCTTAACCCACTCAGGACTGAGAGGCGAGCATTACCCCATCACTGTGTCTGGTGGTCCTTGAGACAGCCATGGGGCTGCCTCCCTATCTGGCTGGCTGCGAGATCTGCCCCCTGGCCTGGCCCTACCTGGGCAGCAGGAGTCACCAAGAGGCCTCTGGCCTGTGGTTCTGTGTGTGTGTGCACACAGATGTGGCCACAGCTTAGCTGACAGCTCGTGTTTGTGGGATGCTGCAGGCGGGTGCTCACAGAGCCACTGTCTGAGTGCCAGCCTGCGCTCTGGTCATTGCTAAAGGAACTTAGTCCTCCACCAGGGGCCTGTCTTGCCCCAGACCATGCACCCCGAGCAGTACCTGGTGGCCTGGGACACAAAGGGCAGGGGTGGTGGGTTTGGGTGAGAATGAGCAGATTGTTTCTTGCAGAGTAGTTAAGACCCCAAAAGGCCATAGGGCAAAGGATCCCAGGGTGTCTGAAGACACAAAGAATCCCAGGTTTGGTTCTGACCTCTCTGTTGTTGGGGTGACAATGTAATGCTTGCTCAGGTCTCCCCCCATGCCTGTGCTCTCACCTCAGTGTCAAGGTGTGGTCCTGAGTCCCCTTGACATGGCACCTGCCTGATCCCTGTGACTCTGGTGATGCCGTCCCAGGAACTGTCCTGGTGCCCTGGCGAAGAACCACACAAAAGAGCTTCAGAAACTCCACCCCATGGCATCTGGGTTCTCCCGTCTCGGACTCCTCCCCTGCTGGGACTGGGGTGGTTATGCAAGGAGGTTTCCCTCCTCTGGTGCCTATGCCGCCCCCTGATCCAGCTGGAAGTCCATCTGTGTGTCAGACTCAGACTCCTTGCTGCTTTAAATAAGCGAGGCCCTTGTTCTACACCGCGTGGAAGAGCAGGCAGCATGAGAGCTATATGTCTCTCTTGTGGTCTCAGCTGCCCAGGGCAGTATGGGAAAAAACTTGCTCACTTGGACCCCAGTTCTGCATCCCATGCTGCTGTGTTACTACCCAGGCTGACCTCTGAGAAAGTCAGCACCAGTGCGTTTTCCTGTGAGCACAACCTCTGGGGGCTCGGTGTCTGCCCCTGTGGTAGGTTTGGGGAGTTCCGGCGTTTGCAGGGACAGGCAGGACCATGAGTGAGCAGCAGTTGTCACTTTATCATTAGCTCTGTGGGGGAGCATTGGACAGGTAACTGTGAGGGCAAGTCCCTCTCTGCTAGAACCCTTCCCGACAGACGTGGCTACTTGCGGGCCACCCCCTGGATGGGGAGAGAACCAGGACACCCAGGGTGAAGGGAGCGAGAGGGAGGCTGTGTGATAGACTCCCGAGGAGTTGCAGGGTCTGTGGGCAGCAGGTGTTAAGTACAATTTGGAGTTGTGTTAGCCTGCCGATTCTTCTGGCTCTTGCACCTGTGTTCCGTGGTTTCATCTCCCCTGCCACCTTGCCCATGACCAGCCATGCATGGAGTCTTTGTGAATAAAACGAGAGCCCCCGCCAGCAAGGTGACGATCCCCATGACTGTTGCTGAATCAGTGATGTCTGGGCTCTCACCTAGTCCTTGAAGCAGCACTCCAAAGACTACCCAGCACTCCAGACATGTGGCTACTGGAGAGGCCAAGACACTTGCCTAAGGCCCCACCAGCGGCTTGGGCCAGAGTCAGGACAGAACTGCCCGCTGGACTCCAGGAGAGGGCTGTGCTAGGCACTGTTGCATTCACAGTGTGTGGAAAGTGACTGTCCTGTCCTCTCTCCCTCTCCTCTTTCAGGGGTCCCTGGTGAATCTTGCCATGGTCATCTAAGGAACCTCTCCTAGAAAGAAGCTCCCCCCTCGCAGTTCCCCACCGACAGGAAGGCCTGGACTCCCAAGATGATTATAAAGGAGTACCGGATCCCCCTGCCGATGACCGTGGAGGAGTACCGCATTGCCCAGCTGTACATGATACAGGTGGGTCGAGGACGGGGCAGCGGGCCGGCTGTGTTGGGGCTGGGGTGGGAACTTGGCCTTCACCCCTCAGGCCTCTGGGAAAGGTCTGAATTGGCTTGAACGCGTGTCCTCCTGGCATCCTGCCAGGCACACAGGATGCCTTGGACGTATCTGCAATATTGGCCTGTCCTCAGCCTTGATGCAGCTCGCACCTTCCCTCCTGCTTGGTGCCCGTCCTCTACCCGACTAGGATCACCCCATCTCTTTCAGCTCAGACTGAACCCCTGTGACTGCATAGCCCGGGACTTTGACCACATGCAGATCTGGCACCAGTGGAGGGCTCCCTCCCTGGCTAATCCCTGGAGAGGCAAATCCGGAGCTGCTTCTCAGAAGGCCACTGATACGAGGCCACAAGTACGAGGACCTTGTCCAAACCTGATCGCCCCCTGAGGCGCCGCCTCCAAACACTGAAACACCACGGGCGCGCCATGTTCAGTTCCTTTGCCCCACCCGACAGAGGAAAAGGTGTGCAGCCCCGAGAGGTTGAGCGACTTGCTCAGCAGCACACAGCCTGTCTCCCAGCCCCAGGCCCATACTCCTCCCTGCCCCTGGGTGCCCATACAACAGAATAGAAGACATGACTGATTTGCAGAGCAGCACACGAGACTGTGGCAGCTGTCTGTGATAAGCAAGTCTGACAAACCTGGAACATGGAACTGGAGGTTGTGGTTCCCGGCCCCTCTTGCTCAGTGCTCGGCTTTGGCCCAGCCTGGCAGCTTCTCCCCAGGTGAGGACCTCTCCCACTGGTGACAGATCTGCCCGTGGTCTGGCTTGGCTTCTCTAGGCTTGTCCGGGGGCCCCAGTCCTGGCTTCCCCAGCCAACGGCCTTAGTCTGTGTTCTTGTTCTGCAGCTCCTCTTACCAGCATCACACTGAGCCCTGACTATGCAGAGGGCCTGGCTGGCAGGGTGTCTCCCTCCCCTGGGTTTGCGTGGTGGGAAGAGGGCCTGGCTGGCCTGGTTGGCAGGGTCTCCTCTCCCTCCCCTGGGTTTGCGTGGTGGACTCAGCCTGGGTCTGGGGAGGTAGCAAACAGCTCCTGCAGAGCTGGTGTCCCTGCTCCCTCTTGGGAGATCTTGAGGAAGTTGTGAAGGTTCGGCCATTATCTTCACCCCAGCAGCTTGACTAGGAGCGGACAGGAAGGTGCCAGCCTCCCTGAGGGGCTGTTTGCTCTGAGCTGCTTCAGAAGCGCCACTCAATTCCCTCTTGAACCACTTACCCCTTAATTATTTCTAGAGAGCAGGGAGAGAGGAAGAGGCTTAAGTCAGCCCCCCCCCCCAGCTCTGAGCATGCCAGAAATAGCCTAGCCAGTTCAAGGGCCAGACTCTCCCACCAGCCCCCGACACCCCAAGCAGCAGACCGGCTCCACGCAGCCTCTGGCTACGGCCGTCAGTTGTCAGAGGTTTCCTATCCACTGTTCACTCCTCAAATGTCCAAAGCCAAGACTGGGCCGGGTGGAATCTGTCCCCCACATGGGTGGCAGGGACCCAAATGCGGAAGAGCAGGAAGCTAGGTGCTGCTATGGGATGCAGGTGTCTCCATCTTAGCCGCTGAGTGAGACACGCCAGCCCCTAAAGCACAGAATCATCGCTAAGCCGAGGTTCCTTGAAAAACCTGCCATCTCCGGGGCCTGTGTTACTCTCAGACCTTCCGCTCCCATCCAGGAGCCCACACGTGTGTGTCTACAGATGAGCCCTGGAGAGTGGGCTATGGCAAAGGGGGATGCCCCCAGCCCCCTCCTGCCTCACAGGAGCCTCACCCGTGACATACCGCTGATGTGCTGGTTGGACGCTTACCACAGCAGCTCTGAGCCTCCAGGGTCTTCCTCTGTGTCTCTCCCAAGTAAGCAGGCCTGTGAGTGTGTCTCTGCTTTCCTGTTCAGACAGGAAGGGCAAGCCAGCCAGGCATCGCCAGGCAAGGTGATTCTGCCATGGGGGTTTGTGTGCCAGTAGGAGGAAATTGCATGCCTCCGCTTATGCAAGCACACACCCCAGTTCACATCAGCTTCAGGGGCGCTCTCAGGCCACAAGAGCACAGGGGCCCTGAACGCCAGCGCAGCCCCTTCCTCTAAAACAAGGCTTCCACTGTGGGGGGACCCTGGCTCTGTCCAGCTGCCCAACAGCCACTTCCCCAGCCTTTCCTCTTGGCCTGCGGAGGTGGGACAGCAGATCAGAGTGGAGTCACCCTGTGTGGAAGGTCTTGCAGCTGGCTCTAAGTAGGACTAGGACTAGGACTTGCACAGTTCGAGATGCCAGCGGGGTGTGGAGACCCTTGCTGGGGTGTAGGGTGGTCCTTGCCAGGGGACAGCTGAGCTGAGCGGTGTGACCTATTGGAGCATGCGTGGCCTTCCCAGGCTCTGGCTGACCCTGGGTTGAGTTCCAGCTTTGGAGAACAAGCAGGCAAACCTCCCCAGCCTCCCGCTAGCCCTCATCAAGCACAGTCAACTTTCCCAGGGTACAGAGGGCCTGAGAGGCAGGGTTGAGCTGAGTTCCTTTGTCTTCCAAGCAGCCTCACCGGCCCTGGTGGGGTGGGGGTGCATGGCAGACAAGAAGAAGGGAAGATAGAAGGCAAGGAGACCCCCTACACCTGAAGCAGGAGGCAGGTAGCTTTGTGTGGACCCGCCGCCCCACAAACCTGCTCCACTTCCCCTGCCTCCTGCAGGAGGGTCCTGGTGGGCAGTGCTGTGAGCTGTGGTCTCCAGGTCTGATGCATGGACTGGAACTCAGTGCTTACCGCACACTTCCTCTCACTGAGACGTTCAGCATTAGCCCCCCTGCCACCTCCTGAGGCCCTGCCCATCTCCCCACGCCCTCTGCCCAGGTCCGTGGGATCCTGCCCCCTGCCAGCAGCCTGGCTGCTACTCGCCCCGAGGTCCCACCTCCCGCTCTGGCTCCAGCTGTGGCTTCCCTATCTTGGACCCTGAATTCCAGGACCCATGCTACTGCAGAGTGATGACAAAAGGTGTGAGATGTATCCACCACCAGCTCCCCCTTCACACGCGTACGGCTCCGTGCACATCCGGCAGGACTCAGCACACCGTCAAAGTAGCCTTGTCCTTTCCAGGCCTGCCCCGTGCCAAGGACTGGTAACAGAATGGAACAGAGCACTTTCTGCCTCTTCCCTAGGAGGCAGAACCAGACAGCCAACTGAGGAGCGGCAGGCGCCGCTGGGGCATCGGGGACAAGTTTTTCAAGCAGGCTCCAGGCTAGTTCCCCAGCAGCACGCATGCTCTGAGCGGCACCTTATGCTCCTACAATGCATTTCCGTAGAAACAGCTGGGGGGCAGCTCTGACTTTCATTCATTTCCTGGCTCTGCAACCCCACCTTCCCCAGCTGGGGGGCAACCAAGGAGTGACCTCCCTGCTGAGCTCAGAGGGCTGAGCTCAGTCAGAGCACCAGGCACTGTGCCTGAGCAGCCTTCAGTGTTCATGGTGTTCAAGGGTTGGGTGAGCGATGTTTAAAAACACCGTTCAGTGTGGCCGGGGGAGAGCTGTCCATCCGATAAGGTCCAGTGATGAGAGTGCCAGGCCAGGACCCTGGACAGCTCTGAGACATCTCTATCAACCTCAGGGGAGCTGGGCCCGGTTGCTTTGCCTACCGTGGGCGCCATCCCTGGGGGAGGTAATGCAGCACTGCCTGTGGGGGTGGCTGACAGGGACCAGGAGGTTGTGTCCCATGTGGGCAGAGAACAGAATGAACTGCCAAGAACTGGCTCCTAAGTGGCATGACAACCACAGCTATGCTGGGAGCCCAGGGGATCCAGAAGTCCTTTTGGGGGGTGCCGTCTGCCCTTGAAGGGTGCCAGACCTAGGGTTCCTGGTGACAGCCTCAGTTGATGTTTGTGGACCACACATCTCCTGCAGGGAGGCACCGAGATATTGTGCTGACAGTACCAGCTTGGGGGCCTTCTGGGTCCCTCTGGTTCTGTCACTAAGAGTCGTGTCCCTGGGATCCCTGAGCAACCTAATGTACCCACCTCCTGTGAGTGGCAGTAGCCACCCTTAACCATCACCCATGGATGCTGGCAGCCTTGTCCCTGAGCCAGAAGCGAGGCCCCTGTCATTGTCCTCACGATGACCTGTGGAATCAGTGGTGTTCTTCCCCCACCTCTCAGGCAAGAGCTGGAGGCCCAGAAACACCGAGCACCTTGCCCAAGCACGCACAGCTGGCCCAACAAAGCCAGTCTGTGTCCAGAGGCATGGCTAGCTGCCTTTCCCTTGAGCAGCTGGTCGTCTCCTGGCCTCCTCCGCTCTTACATTCCCTGCAGCTGAGCAGAGCTGTGGAGAAGGCCACAGAGATGCCCTTGGTCTGTGTTGTTCCTTACACGGCCCCACCCCACATGCAGCATGTGGTCACCCTCTGAGCAGCAAGGCCAGAGTCACCACATGCTGGGAGAGTGCTGGCAACAGGCTCCCATGGCTAGCCAGCAGGTGGGCACTCCCGCTTACTCCACCTGAGACCTTAGAGTGGGGCCTCTGACTGAAGATGTGAGAGGAAGTCATCCTGGATGTAGCACAGCCTAAAATCCAATGACCCTTTCTGCTGTAAGAAGAGGCGAAGACAGAGAAACATTGGGAAGATGGAGCTAGAGATTGAAGAGAGGCAGTCACATGGCAGAGGATGCTGCTGGGAGCCACTGGAGACGGGCAAGGCCACTAGAGTCCTCCGGAACCTTCTGAGGCTGCTGGCTTTCCTTGGCCTCACTCCAGCTGAGGTCTGCCCAGGTGGCCAGGGGGGTTCTTCACAGCCCCATAGCCCCTTCCCTGCCTTCCTTGCCCTTCTACATCCTTGGCTAAATGACAGCGGGGACCTGACCACAGCCCCAGGGCCTCCCACAAGCAGCCTAGTCTCCAGCCTGTATATTTTGCCGCAGCTCCTGGCACTGCAAGTGTATTTGCCTCCTGGGGTGACCATAACAAATACCACAAGCCAGATGATGTGCTGACTACAGGAACCCCTTGACTCACAGCTGAAGCTCTGACTTTCATTCATTTCCTGGCTCTGCAACCCCACCTTCCCCAGCTGGGGGGCAACCAAGGAGGGACCTCCCTGCTAAACTCAGAGGGCTGAGCTCAGTTAGAGCACCAGGCACCGTGCCTGAGCAGCCCTCAATGTGCAAGGGCTGGGTGTGCGCAGGACATGCTCCCTCTTTCCGGAAGCTCAGGAAGAGAAAGGGTCCCTGCTTGTCTGCTCCAGACACTCACTGGCTTGTTCCTCCATCCTTTCAGTTGACGCCTGCAGAGACCCGTTCCCGCATAAGGCCATAAGCTGAAGTTCTGGGTGGGCACTAATGAGGGCTTCAGGGCTTCAACCGCTGATCCAGGATTGGGTAAATAGGAGGACTGGACCTCACATCCAGTTTTGGAAACCAAGGCTAGAGAGAAGTGGCTCGTCCAGGAAAGGGGAGTTTGTCACAGGACTGGGACCAGATTTGTTTGTTCAGTACACATTTGCCCAGCACCCACCTGTTGCCGAGGAGCCCAGCAACTCAGGGCCGTGGACTCAGGAGGCCCTGTCATCCAATAGGTCTGGCTGAGGCCATTTGGTAGCTTCACAAGCTTGGAGAAGGCACCCCCCGCTAGCCTCAAAGTCTGGTCTGTACATGAGGGATAGCAGTGTGTCGCACCCTTCTCAGGGAGCATTTCCCTAGCCACGGAACGGACACGAGAGCCCTCAGCACAGCCCGGGCCAACAGGGCCCTGACAGGACAGGAGCTGAGGAGGTGTCCAGACCACAGGTGCACCTGGACACGGCACGGGATCTGACCCCCCCATTGCAGGGACTGAGGGCTTGCCACCTGTTCAGACACCCTCTGAGCCTCATCCAGCGCCTTTCCCTTTTCTGCTGGAGAGGTCAAGGTAGTCTGAGCCCCAGGGGTAGACCACACCTCTGTGCCCGCAAGGGGACCATGCCCAGGGCAGTGCCATTGGAAGCGCCTGGGTGCACGTATGTGTCTATGTGTGCATGCACACACGTGCCAGTAGGGGCAGGTGCTGCACTGCACCTGCTGTTCAGGAACTGACCCAAGATGGCTTTGGCAAAGCTGTCAAGTCACCATGGAAACAGATGCCGGGCTCAGAGTCACCAACAGCTCAAGGACGAGGTTTTCTGCATAAACAGAAGGCTGAGCTCTGGGGCACTGGGAAGGACATCTGAGAGGGTGCCACACAGAGGTGACCCTGGCCACCGAGGCCCTTCCCATTTGTCACAGTTTATCTCTCAGACCCCAGTGAGCATGAAGAGGCGGGACTGAGTGCTGTTTGTTCTGTGTCACAGCAGTTTATTGAGCCGTGAGTCGCGCACCACCAGGCACGGCCATCCAACGCATGCAGGCTGCTGGTCTTGGGCACTTTCAGCGCTGTCAGCCACTACCACAGTTCATCTTAGAACATGTTTTATTTCCCCCAAAACAGTCACTTTTCACCTTCCCCAGTCCCCAAGGCCCTGTTAAGTCTTCTCTCTGTCTGTACACTGCTGATAGAATCATTAGCAGCATCTTGCAGAGGGTGTGGGGTGTGTGTGTTACGAAGAAAGCAGGCACTGAGTTCAGTGGATTCCACTTCTCCACGAACCTTCTCAAGGACCCCTCATGAGGCCCTCTGGCATGGCTGGCCCCTGCCACTCAGCATGACTCTTCTCAGGGCTCGATGCCCTGTTCTTTGGTGTGAATGGACGGACCATGTCGGCTGGCCCGCTGACCTGCTGCTGGACGTCTGGGCCATTTCTGCCTGTTGGGTCAGGCGAGTGGCGCTGCTAGGAGCATGAATCAGTGAGATTATTGTGTGTGGAGCTGTCTTCTTCTTCTTGGATGTGTAGTAAGGAGGGCAACTGCTGGATCACACAGAACCCGGGAGTGCAGCCTCCTAGGGGATGTGCTGGGGTGCTGGCCATGGCAGCTACACGGTTCCACACTGTCCCCCTGAGGTGCCTCCCAACACTTGCCACTGTCCATCTTTTTAACCACTCCAGAGGATATGAAATTCTCACCCCACCCTAGCTTTTCACTGGCAGTTTGTGTGTCTTGGGAGAAATGTCCACTCAAGTCCTTTGCCCATTTTTTAAATGGGGTTGTTTCTCCTTTTGTTGCTGAACTATAGGAGGGTTTTTGTTATGTTTTTTTTTTCACATATCTTCTGGCTGTAAGTCCCTTACAACAGGCATTGTTTAATTTTTTTCTTCCATATAATGGTTTATTTCCCCTACATTATTATTTTTTTAAATTTTAGATGATATTTATATTGATTAAGGTGGGAAGGATCTAGGGTTAGGGCGAAGTGGATGTGATCATTGTTTCCAAGCTTTCTGTTTCTTCTTCCCATTTCCGGAGGGAGGGGAGAGACAAGGGGATAGGACATACCCAGCCTCACCACCATGCCAGTGCCCAAGGATGGGGAAAGGCCACCCGATATCAACCCAGGGTCACAATGTGGCACACGCTCTGAGGGTTCTGCCCAAGGGGATGTGATAATTCTGAAATGCTGTCACCCGCCGGTCTATGGATGAGAAATCCCTTCCAATGTCCATTGGCTGACACCATCAACCTTGGAGTCGCCAGTCGTCGTTTGGCTGTGGTCATTGTCAACATTATTTTTTAATGATTTCTGAAGCACGAAACTCACCATTCCTATTAGGACAGAAGTAGGACTAAGTAGGGCTGGCCTATGGACCCACTGATGGGTGCATGATCTGGCATTGGGCGAGGTTCTGATGGAGGAGCTTGGCAGCTCCTCTGTTGGGACACAGTCCCTGCAGGTGAGCACAAGAACCAAGACTGGGAGCAGCCCAGACCAGGCCAGGTAACTGTACCCACCAGCATACATTTGGCTAAGATCTGGGATGAGCCAGGCTAGACCAAGTTCATATCACCCACTGGCTAATCAGAGAACCAGCATGGTATGTGGGTCAGGACTGGGGGCTGCCTGGGCTGGACTGGGCTAGGCTATAGCCCCGACCAGTGTGAGCTGGAACTGGGGGCGGCGCCGGCCCTGGCCAGGCTACAGCACCCATGGGCAAATGCCAAGGTAAGGTGGGCCGTGCCAGAATGGGCCGCAGCGCTCAACCAGCACACACGAGACCAGGAGGTAGGGAATAAAGACAGTAAGGGGGTTGCTTGGGGCTCCCCTGCTGGACTACTACTCCCACAGTGAGCATGAGAGCTAGGGTTGGGAGCAGACCAGACCAGGCAGGGCTACAACACCTGTTGATCTCATGTGAGCTGGATCAGGGGAAAGCCAGACTGGGTTGACTGTTCTTACTGGTGCATGCATAAGCAGATTGGGTATGGACTGGTTGGGCTTTGCCACAGCATCAGCTGGCAGATGCTCGCACGGAGGGCAAATTCTGGAAAGTGCAAGATCCGGGAGTGGACCCAGTAGGGAAGCAGTGGGCACCTCCCTTTTGGATTGCCACTCCAACTGGTAAGCATGAGAACCAGAACTGGACCAGGCATGGCTAGACAGAGTGGCACCCGCCGGCAGGTGTGTGGGCTGGATAGTGAGGTTGGTTTGGTTGAATTAGGTTTCAATGCTATACGAGAGCTGAATGGGATGTGGGACAGACTGGACCAGTCTGCTGTACATATTGGCAAGAATAGGAACCAGGGCAGGGGGCTGGTCTGGTGGGGGTTATTGGGAGTTGCCCCAACTAGGCTATAGCTCCCACTGGTTTACGTGACCACGAGTGTTTGTAGGGGGGCGGGCGACCGGGTTGGGCTTCAATACCCATTGCTTTGCATAGAGGTCAGGGCTGGAGATAGAACTGACCCAGCAATTACAGCCACCAGTGTGTGCGTAGCTGATTGGGGTGACAGATCTTCACTCTTTGGCATGTGGAAATTGAATTGTCCTGGGACTGTTCCTTCCAAGACAATTGGTCTGATCGCCCTGGTCAAAAAAATGAATGGGCCACAGGTGCAGAGCTTGTGTCTGGATGCACTCTCCTGTTGATCTGCCCACCTCTCCAGTCCTGGTTTGTTCTGACCTTGACCACTTTGCTGTAAATTCTGATAGAGGAAAGTGTGAGCGTCCCAATTTAATTTTTTGTTTTGTGTTGAAGATCTTTTTTATTATTTGGGATCCCTTGCAATTCCATATTAGTTTTAGGATCATCTTTGACTTTGCTAGGAATTGTGTTGGATCTGTAGGCTGCTTAGGGAAGCTCTTCCGTAGCTTCCCTAGGGTAGCTTCCCATTGTAGCTTCCCATCCAGGTGTGTGCTTGATTTTTTTCCCAGCAACATTTTGTAATTTTTGTTACACAAATTTTGTACCTCCTTGGCTAAATTTATTCCTAGGTATTTTATTTTTTTCAGATACCATTGTAAATATAACTTATTTCTTCATTTCTTTTTTTTTAAGATTTATTTATTTTATTGGAAAGGCAAATATACAGAGAGGAGGAGGAGAGACAGAGAGGAAGATTTTCCATCTGATGACTCACTCCCCAAGTGACCGCAATGGCCGGTGCTGTGCCGATCCAAAGCCAGGAGCCAGGAACTTCTTTCCGGGTCTCCCACATGGGCACAGGGTCCCAAGGCTTTGGGCTGTCCTCGACTACTTTCCCAGGCCACAAGCAGGGAGCTGGATGGGAAGCAGGGTTGCTGGGATGGGAACCAATGGGATCCCGGGCGTGCAAAGCAAGGATTTAACCGCTAGGCTATCGTGCCGGGCCCTATTTCTTCTTTCACAGTATGGATACCTCTCTTGCTGTCTCCTCTTGTCCAGTGGCTAGGATTTATGTGTGTGGTCCTGGGGCCCCTTCCGTTCCCTGCCCAGGAGGAGCTGGCCTCGGTCAAAGCCCCCTCCCATCTCATGCTGCCATCGCCTGAGCCCCTTCTGCGCAGAGTGCTCCAGCCCCTCAGCCACCACAGCACTTTTATCCCCACAGAAGAAAAGCCGCAATGAGACATACGGCGAAGGCAGTGGCGTGGAGATCCTGGAGAACCGGCCGTACACGGATGGCCCCGGCGGCTCCGGGCAGTACACGCACAAGGTGTACCACGTGGGCATGCACATCCCCGGCTGGTTCCGCTCCATCCTGCCCAAGGCAGCGTTGCGTGTGGTGGAGGAGTCCTGGAACGCTTACCCCTACACCAGAACCAGGTGCGCTACCTCCACCGTCCTGTGCCTGGTGTCAGGTCACAGGTGCCGGGGCCCCCACCAGACTCAACTGCTTGACCCTTCAGAGAACTCAGTCTCTACCCCAGACAGGTGCCCTGGAGGCCCCTGGGATAGGGCAGGCACAGGTAGGAGAGGGAGGACCCAGCTCTCATTGTAGCCCCTCCTCCTCCCTGGGCCACTGGGATGGGGGCCGTGAAAGCAGGAGTCCCGGGAGGACTGCTGGAGGCGCTTGGCCATCTGGCAAGACTGGGAGAATGCAGTCACTGTAATTCCAGATGGTCAGCCGGCTGGGAGGAACAGCCTGAGTCGCCTGTAGGATCCTGGAGCTGCTGCAGCAGGGTTTGATCATCTCCCACCTGGCCCGGGCTTCCCCTGGGGTCTCCTGGGGGATAGGGGTGGGGGTCCTTCATCGTGTGCACCCTGTTCCGTGCATGACTCAGCACTGCAGGGCTGCCTAAGTGGGAGATGTTCCCACCACCATCCCCAACTGTGAGGCTCCCCGTCCCTCCCCAACACTTGGGGCTTTCCTGGGTTTGGCTGGAGAACCCACAGAAGCTCGTGTCCAGCCCAGAGAGGGCTGCACCTCATCACCAGAGTTGGATCCTCAGCAGGGCTGCAGGGTCACAGCCCAGAGGCGCCAGACCCACGGCCTGCCAGCTTGGCCTCACATGGCGCTGACTGTGCCTGAGTTCCAGCACGCGGTACCCTCACCCATGCCCGTGCCACAGGCCCAGTTGTGAGGGAAGTCAGCAGGAGCTCCCTGCAGCATCTTTACTTCCTGGACTCTGCTGCCACCCCTGCCTGGCAGTAGTTGGGCCAAAGCCACGTCCAGCAGGGCCCAGCCTCCTGTCCCTCCCACATCCCGGGCCCCGGCAACCTTGGTCTAGCCGTCCTGTGCCCCCTCTCACCCAGATCCTGATGAGGCCCTCCTCCCTGCAGGTTCACCTGCCCTTTTGTGGAGAAATTCTCCATCGACATCGAGACCTTTTATAAAACCGATGCCGGAGAAAACCCGAACGTGTTCAGTCTCTCTCCTGTGGAAAAAAACCAACTGACAATCGGTAATTCTGGGTTTCCCACCCACCGGCCACCCCTCGTCCCCAAGCCTGGCCTGTCCAGCAAACTTGGGGGCCTCCTTGCCCCATCTGCCTGACATACACATCAAGTCTCAGCACCTCTCCCACACAGTGCCCCTCTTTCGTCGACAGAGTGCTGGAGGCCATGTTGGGCTGAGGCCAGGCACACATTGGGGCCACTCCCTTGGGTGGTGGGTGACCGTGCCCACTCCCCTCCAACTGCCAGCGCCACAAAGAAACAGGCCCCATTCATCTAATGTCAAGGGAGGCCAGAGACCAGAATTTTTTACGTGAAATCTCACAGTTCCTAAATGTTAACTGACAGAAATGCCCCTAAGTAAGACTGCTTTTAAACAACACACCTCAGTGAGTCAAATGCAGACCCCAGCCTTCCAGTCCTAGGGTTTGCCATGGCACATGTGGCCAGCCCCATTACCAGAGCTGAATCCTTGAGGGGCTGCAGGGGGCACATCCCAGAGGTGCTAAATCCCAGGATGCCCATACCTGGGAGCTGCCACGGAGCGGCCTGTGCAAGGCTTTGACACAGGACCACCCCTCCACCTGCTGCCACTCCTGCGTGGTCCCAGAGCCTTAGCGCCACCCAGATAAAGCACCACAAAACCGGGTGCTTCATCACAAGAATGCCACCTCTAAGGCTCTCCGAGGAATCAGCAGTGCTGGCTCCTCCTAAGAACCGCGAGAGAGACAATGTCCCAGGCCCCTCCCAGGTTGCAGTGTTTTGCTGGTAAGCTTTGGCTGTCCTGCCCATGCGCGATACTGACACTGCAGGGTAGAGGATTAGCCTGTTGAGACAGACACACACCACCACCCCAGGACCCATCTTAATGGCCTCATTGTAACTCAGGAACCGTATGAAAGGGCCTGTCTCCACAGAAGTTTACTTCTGAGGGTACCAAGGTTCAGGTATCATCCCAGGAATCTGCAAAAGGAAGAACCTCAGTGGCGCTGTGCATCTGCCCCCCGCCCTAGTGCAGCCATCCCCAAGCCCTCTGAGGACTTTGGGCTGAGTGGAAGTGGAGGAGGGGCCGGGCTGGAGTCTGGCAGAAATAGCCACTCGCACCCCACACAGACTTCATCGACATCGTCAAGGACCCCGTACCCCCAAACGAGTACAAGACGGAGGAGGACCCCAAGCTGTTCCAGTCGGCCAAGACACAGCGGGGGCCTCTGTCCGACAACTGGATTGAGGAGTACAAGAAGCAGGTGTTCCCCCTCATGTGTGCCTACAAGCTCTGCAAAGTGGAGTTCCGCTACTGGGGTATGCAGTCCAAGATTGAGAGGTTCATCCACGACACTGGTGAGCTGCCCCCTGCACCCAGGCCCCGTTCCACCTGGGTCTCCCTCTGCACCTGGGATTCCCAACAGCTGACCCCAAAGCCCATGTCCAGCTCTGCCCCTTCTGATCATGCATGAGTCCTCAGCGGGTACCACTAAGGTGGCAGGAGTGTGTCCCAGAAGTCCCCGACCTGGTCTGTGCTCAGCGTGTGCAGCTCCTGGCGAGTCTCCCTAATGCTCCCCGGGGCCTTTGGCTTCAGAGCAGGTGCCCAACCCAGGTAGACCAGCAGATAGATGACTGGGCCCAACCCCTGCCTGCCCCTGTGACAGCACTTGGGGTTGGTCCCACCCCGGGACTTGGCCCAAGAGAGGCACCAGGGAACACACCAAAGACTCTGCTGAGACCCAACAGGAATCACGCCTGCGGTGGTGAGCTCTGCAATGCTCACAGTGACCTGTGAAGGTGGGCCCCATCACCCCACTTACAGAGAGAGCTGTGGCTTATGGAGAGATGGGCTTGTCCTCACTGCCATGCCAGCCCCAGGCAGTCCCTGTTGCCACTCTGTTATCCCTTGTGCCCTATCTAGTTTTATATATGTAACGTACTCTTATCTGTGTAGCAAAAATTCTCTTAAACACATTAAAAAAAAAGACCCACTCAATTTGAACTCAAACTGGATTTTTCAAGGGAAATTCCACCAAAAAACTATATGTCTATACATCTATAGCTATTTGGTTTCCTCCTGGGGCAAGAACCTTCCGCAGTTAGTGGTGGCTCGACCCAGCCCTTCACTGTAACTATAGAACCATTATGAGGCCATCCTGGGCCAGTCCCATCCTGGGACAGCTGAGGAAGCAGGTTCCAGTGGGCAAGGGAGTGACACTGATGGTGGTTGCCCAGCCTGGGCATGGTCCCCGGTGCCGGCTCTGCAGCTGACTGTCTCCCTGGGCCCCCGCCGTCCCCTGACCCCACAGGCCTGCGGAGGGTGATGCTGCGGGCCCACCGGCAGGCCTGGTGCTGGCAGGACGAGTGGTTCGGGCTGAGCATGGAGAACATTCGGGAGCTGGAGAAGGAGGCGCAGCTCATGCTGTCTCGCAAGATGGCCCAGTTCACGGAAGACAGCCAGGAGGCTGCGGAGCTTGCCAAGGACCCAGCCACCCAGGACCAGGCCTCCTGGGAGAGCCCCCAGCCCAGCGGCAGCAACGGGGAGGCCCTAGTAGGGCGGGGCCTGAAGAAGCAGTGGTCCACGTCCTCCAAATCCTCACGGTCGTCCAAGCGGGGAGGTGAGCCCGGGGCGCTGTCCCATGGCAGAACTGCTCCCAAGGAGACTGCCTCCTTCCCATGGCTTCCACGTGGCCAGGCCCGTTGGGAGGCAGGGCTGTGCCCTCTGTAATGTGGCACCAGGTGAAGAGGCCCCAACCCAGTAGGCTGCCCAAGGGAGGCAGGTCAGGGAGGGTACCCCTCGCCCTGAGAGGGCCATGGGAGGAAGCACCCAAGAGATTTCACATTCTGAGACAGAGTCAAGCCGGGAACCTCAGCCAGCTGGACTCCCAGGACCTGTATCCCTTGTCTCCCCGCTGGCCCCACAGTGCCATGGCTACCAATGTGCTGTGCCACAGCCAAGCCGAAGGAGTTTTCCTATGGTCAGGCCCAGGCCAGGAGCCCAGGAGTGGACCAGACCCACTCTAGTATGCATCCCAGGCCTACGCCTTCTGTCCCTGCTGTCCTTCCCTTCCCCCTGTGACCAGGCATCCAAAGAGAGTGGGAGGGGGCAGCTCCCGGATATCTAGGAGCCCCTCTTCCTACCGTGAACCCTGGCAGCGCCCCCGTCACTGCCCCAGCTCCTCGTCTCATGCCTGCCTGAGGTGGCTGGGCCCAGGGCCGGGCTCCTGCCTGCAGCCTTGGTAGTCAGCCTGGGGCTCTGTCTTGCAGCAAGTCCTTCTCACCACAGCATCTCGGAGTGGAGGATGCAGAGCATCGCCAGGGACTCAGATGAGAGCTCAGACGACGAGTTCTTTGATGCCCATGGTAGGTTCTGGGTTGAGGGAGACCTGCCCGACGGCTAGTGCTTCCTTCTCTGTATGGTTCCTCAGGGCACAGTGCAATGTTAAGGCTTGGGGGCCTAGGAGAGGAGACCAAGTTAGTAGGAGCCCGGCCTTAGGCCTACCCACCCCGATTTGCTGTGGGCCTGGCAGTGGGGGTTCTGCTCTCTTGAAATCCCTAAAACAGACACAGTGAGGCCAGAACTTTGTTCCACAGTGAGTTTGTTTCTGTAAGTTTTCTTTTTTCCTTTTAAAAAAAGGATTTATTTATTTAAAAGATAGAGTTACAGAGACAAAGGAATAAAGGGAGAGAGAATCTTCCATCCACTTGTTCACTCCTCAAATAGGGCTGGGCCTGGCCACAGCAACGAGCCTGACATTTCCTCTGGGTCTCCCACGTGGGTGCAGGGGCCCAGGCACTTGGGCCATCTTCTGCTGCTTTCCCAGCTGCATCAGCAAGGAGCTGGATCAGAGGTGAAGCAGCTGGGACTCAAACCAGCACTCATACGGGATGCCAGTGTCACCAGCAGAAACTTAACCCACTGCACCAGGACAGCGGCCCCCTAACTTTTTTTTTTCAGAGTTAAATTAATGCGAATCTATGTAGCTGCTTCTGAAAATGCAATAAACAAAATTTATGAAGAGCCCGTTTCCTTTCCCACCAACCCTCAGACCAGCTCAGTGAACATGCAGATTGGTAAGTTTCCCGGGCTGTGACCCTCACAAGTCAGACGCCAGCAGGTTGGACAGCACAGGGCGAAGGGTCGCTCTGCAGGGTGCTGGCTAAGCCGGCCCCAGCTCACACACAGAAAGGGCCAGGGAAGCCAGCGTGTGGCCCGTGAGTCCCCATGTCCCACATCACAGTACCTGGTATAATCCTTGGCTCCCAACGCGAACCTCCTGCTAACGTGCATCCTTGGAGCGGCAGTGGTGTCTAAATAAAAGAAAGGGGTGTCTGCCACCCTGGCAGCAGACCTACCTTGTGGGCATCTGAGGAACAAGCTGACAGATGCGAGCTATCTGTGTGTGTGTGTGTATCGGCCTCTCAATGAGGTAAATAGTTTTTAAAAGAAAAGAGGATGAGGACTCATTCTAGGAGCCAGCGGTGGGGTGTGGGCAGGCCCAGAGCCTCTCACACCACCCCCAAGGCCTGGGGGATTGAGGAGCCACACGCACCCAGACTCTTGGCTCATAGCTGGCTGCCCCTAATTGGACAGCCAGGAAAGAGGTAGCAGGCATCCCTTAGCCAGCCTCTACTGCAGGGGCCTTGTCGACGGTGGGTCACCCTCCCAGCTGCTCTGTGTTCTAGACAAGAGGAAAATAGACATTAATGTAGAAGTTGCTGAAGAGAGACAAAGCTGGAGATGCCCTCAGTGGCAGAGTCCTGGCAGGGGTGACCAGGGGTTCATCCTCAGGTCCAGCCTGAATGGTTTCTGGGTGGAAATCCCAGAGAAGCAGAAATGAGTTCTGGCTGTAGTTTCTGGTCAGGGGCAGATGATTGGCCCGGTCGCTAAGACACCAGTTCCCAGACCATGTGGGTTCACGTTCTGGCTCGAGCCTCTGACCCCAGCTTCCTGCTGCAGCTGGCCCCAGGAGGTAGCAGGGACGCCTCAAGTCATTGAGTCCCTGCCATCCACATGGCAAGTCCAGGAGGAGGTGACAGCTCCCAGCTTTGGCCTAGCCCAGCCCCAAGCATCGCAGGCATCTGGGGAGGAGAAAGATCAGGATCAGCAGGCATTAAGTAGTAAAGCAACAGAAGCCTTCTGTCCACACACTAGAACATGGTTCAGCCACGGACAGGAACAAAGCCTTGGCTCATGCTTCAGTGCAGATGAACCCTGAAAGCATCATGCCAAGGTGGAGGCCCACAGAGCCCCTTGGTAAGAGTGTTACAGTCCACACTCGGCAGGTGGAGGCCCACAGAGCTCCATGGCAAGACTCCATTCCAGTCCACACTCAGCAGGCTTCTCAGGTGCCACGTGTGAGGGGAAGGACGTGTAAGCACGGAACATGTGTAGACACCTTCCTTGTCACTAGTGCCTAAGCTACACAGCATAACCAGAGGCTAAGCCGCCCCGATTCCACGGCAGAGAGCCTGGGCCGCGTCCCAGCTCTACCCCTGATTCCGGCTTCCTGCTCCTGTGCATGCTGGGAGTCAGCTGGCCTGACTTAGGGACGTGAGTACCTGACACCTGCCTGGAAGAACTGGATTGCGTTCCTGGCTCCTTGCATTGGCCTGGCCTAGCCAGGACTGTTACAGATATAGGAGTGAACAGCAGATAAAAGCTCGCTCTCTCTTTTCCTTCTTCCCCTTTTCTTTCTCCCTCTCCCTTCTTTCCCCAAAATAAAGTTTAAAAATAAAGCAAGGAAGCATAACAGTTATTTATATATTATCTATGTTGTATTAAATGTTACCACAAAGAGGTAGCTCAGTGTGTCCAGAGGGATGTGCAGAGCCCAGCACAGAGCAAGCACAGAGTCTTCAGGGGTGCACCAGGCCCCATAAAGTATCCCTTCTCCCCTTGTTCCGCCTCCAGAGGACCTGTCCGACTCCGAGGAAATGTTCCCCAAGGACATCACCAAATGGAGTTCCAATGACCTCATGGACAAAATTGAGAGCCCCGAACCGGAGGACAGCCAGGGTAATGTGCCCGGGAGCTGCAAGGCCAAGCCACAGGACAACCTCGGCTCCTTTCTGACCCCAGTTCCACACAACACTGGGTATCCAGGGGGTCCCCCACGTTGTGGTCCCAGCCTCAGCACAGCTGGCCCCTGACCTGCCGGCTGCCCCGCGGCTCACAGCAGTGCTTCTACATTACAGCTGGCCTCTACCGCCAGAGTGGCCCTGAGTTCAGGGTGGCCTCCAGCGTGGAACAACTGAACATCATTGAGGTGGGTGCCTGGTGCTGGGTCCCTACACCTGCCAGGACAGGGTTCAGAGGCATGGTCCCTGGGGGCTATGGCCCCACATCCACAGCTGGCTAGGATGCTCAGAGAGTCCTGGGACCTCCTTTCCTTGCTGCACTGCCCAGAGGGCACTGGTCAACCCTTCCCAACCCACCCCTGTGTCCCTCAGAAACAGAGATCCCAGGAAGCCTCCCTGGAAGTCCCCTGCCCAAGCGCAGCCCCTGGGGAAGTAAGATGAGAAACTTGTAAATTCCAGATCAAAAATAAGGTCTCCAGCTTGTGTTCAGCCTACCTGCTTTCCCTGGAGAGAAACACACGGAAGGAAAGGAAGCAGAAGTCACACGGCCCTGGGTGGGGGGCAGGGAAGGGGACTCAGTGTGTTCAATAAAGCTCTGCGGTAGCACCTGCACACACTTCAGGTATGCGCACGCGTTCAGTGCACACAGCGCTGACAGCCCCAGGGGAGGGCTGGTCAGGAGCCTGGGACTTGGGATCTGCCTCCTGAGCACTGCCAGTCAAAGCCAGATACCTTTACATGCAATTAGCACACTGTGAGTTAGGAAAGCTGTACCTGAAGCTTGGCAGGGCAGGGGCCGCTGATCAGGGCTGCAGTTTTGGCTGCTATAAGCCCCTCACCTCCCTGAGTCGGGGCAGCCCTTGCCCACCAAGCCCAGTGGGTCCTTTAGCTCTTCCAGCCCGGCTTTGCCCCAGCCTGTGCATTCAGCACTGGGCAGGCTCCACAGGGCACAGGTGTCAGCCCCCCCAGGCCCCTGTGGAGGAAAGCTGAGGCCCTGTGATCCAGGGCCTGTCGCCTCTCTCTGTCCCACATCCAACATGGCTGATAGGTCCCTCTGTTTCTCAGCTACCCTAAGCCTTCTGTGATTCTGGCCCATTCCCTACCCGTCCTACTCGGAGCCTCATCAGCCCCTGAGCCCTGCCCCTGTCCTGCCCACCTTTCCCAATACTGAGTTCTATCATTTGGTGAGCAGCTCAAAGCCAGCTGATGCCACTGCAGGTGCTCTGGGCAGCCTTAGCCTCTTTGCTCAGTTTCCTTCCCTGATCCCTCAAGCCTCGGACATGTTAGCACGTACCCACCAATGACCAGGGAGGCAGGAGAAGGGCCCTGGGCACAGGGTCACAGCTCTGGCAGGACATGTGCTGAGCCAAGGAACCGCAGGTCGTAGCCGCCTGACCAACAATGGAGCCTGGTGATGTTAGGCCAGCCCCTAAGTCTCCGTCCTCGCCTCACTTATCACTTAAATGGCCTGGACTCCAGGCATGGCTTAGAAGTTCAGGGTTCCATTCTGATCTCACAAGCAGGTCTGGCCAGTAAGAAGGTGAGATTATGACCCCGTATAATTAGGTCTACAGACCCAGGCAGCCCTGCCAACTCTGAAGCACTAGGGCCCTGCCTCTGTCAGCACATTTCTGCTCCTGGTGTCAAGAGTCTGAGGGCCCAGGGAGGAGGCCCTCTGCAGTTGAGGGGGGCTTGGCATTGCAGGCAGAATGGCTGAGGGTATTACGTTCCCAGTTCAAGCAGGCAGGCAGGTCTCAGAGCCAGGCCAGGATGAGCCTTCTTCTCTCCAAGCCAGAAGCCCTAGAGCCACCATCCAGTCTTCCTCTGGGAAAAAGCATTTGCTTTGGAAGCACAGCCTCCCCGACCCCGGCCCCCTTCAACACAACCACTGTGTCCTCTGGCCCCCGGCCAGGCCGTCAGGGAAAGAAAGCACCACCCCAGCCTCCCAGCCCTGCCAGGAGCCCCGGAGAGAAGTGACAGCAGCCGGACCCCAGGCTTCACAGCTGAGTCATAAAAACTGGGCCAAGGCAGAGCACAGTCCCTGCGCAGCTGACACTCTCCTCCACCCCTACCCCTGCCACGCAGGATGAAATCAGCCAGCCGCTGGCCACACCGCCCTCCAAGATCCACGTGCTGCTGCTGGTGCTGCATGGAGGCACCATCCTGGACACGGGCATGAGCGACCCCAGCTCCAAACAGGGAGACACCAACACCATCGCCAACGTGTTCGACACAGTCATGCGTGTGCACTACCCCAGCGCCCTGGGCCACCTGGCCATCCGCCTGGTGCCCTGTCCACCTGTCTGCTCCGACGCCTTCGCCCTCGTCTCCAAGTGAGTGCTGGTTGCTTACTGGCACCCGTCTTGGGTCTGGGCAGCCAGTGGGAAGTTTCCCCTCCCACACCTGCATCTCACCCTGCCAGTGTTGGGACCCCTATCCTGCCATCCAGATCTGCCCACCAGCCCCCTCTTGTCCTGAGTCCATCATACAGGCACGCTGGCCTGCTCTGAGGTGCAGGTCTCCCAGGAAAGGCCTAGGGACAGGCAGCTCAGTCCGCTGTGCCGCACAGTCTGGGGCTGAGAGACGGACAGCCCTCTGGGCTGAGCCGAGGCAGCCCATGTGCTCCTGACTGGCTCTTCGCCCCCAGTCTCAGCCCCTACAGCCACGATGAGAGCTGTCTCTCCAGCAGCCAGGACCACATCCCCCTGGCTGCCTTGCCTCTGCTGGCCACCTCCTCACCCCAGTACCAGGAGGCAGTGGCCACGGTGATCCAGCGGGCCAACCTGGCCTACAGGGACTTCATCAAGTCCCAGGAGGGTGTGACCTTCAATGGACAGGTGAGTCATGGGGTCAGGAGGGGGAGGGGAGGGTCACGATGCGGGGCTAACCTGAGGCCAGGGGCCAACTTGGCTCTGCCTTCGCCCTGCCAGGGGGACAAACGCTTAGATCACTGGGCCTTGCACCCCTGCAGGTCTGCCTGATTGGGGACTGTGTCGGGGGCGTCCTGGCATTTGATGCCTTATGCTACAGCAGTCAGCCAGTGTCTGAGAGCCAGAGCAGCAGCCGCCGGGGCAGTGTGGCCAGCGTGCAGGTATGCAGACTTCTGCCAACGCCTACCCTCTCCCACATACCACATTGGGTGGCTGCCGCTGTGCTGGGAGGGTCCCAAGCCATTACCATGCCCCCTGCTCCACCTGATCAGAGCATCCAGAGACCCAGGGGCAAGCTGGCTTGAACACTGCCCAGCTGAGCTCTGTTTATGCAGCTGCACTGAGTCCTGGCCTCCCGTGCAAGGACAGGAGAAGTGCAGGGGAGGACAGGGACAAGGGGAGTAAGGGTGACCAGCTCATCTATGAGGGCAGTCCCCAACCCACTGGTTCACAAAGGACCTGGAGCAACTGCATCAGTTTCTCAGAATCCTCTCCCCTCCTCTAAATAAGACAGGAAGAACTTGGGCTTCTTCGACACAGGCATCCAAGCTCAGGAGCTCACTCAGCTGCCTGCGCAGCGAACCAGGAACTACAATTCCAGAGAGTGGCTTCTGGTCCTCAGAGAAGCAGGACCAGGGGACCCCGTCCATTTCCCAGCAGGGAATGAAGACCCTGAGTCCTCCTAGGGCAGAGTCAGGGCTTCCCCACCCCTGCCTTCGGCTTGGGCAGTGGTCCACTGGACCTAGAGGCAGCTTCCAGGACACACTGGAAGGGCCAGGGCCATGCTCCCCCGGCAGTGAGCCCGCTCTACGGGTTGTTGCAGGATGCGGACTTGCTGTCCCCGGGCATCCTGGTGAGCACAGCACCCTGCCCCAGCGGCAGCTCCAGCCTGGAGAGCAGCCGGCACCTGAGTCGTAGCAACGTCGACATCCCACACAGCAATGGCGCTGAGGACTCCAGGAAGCAGCTGCCCCGCAAGCGGAGTGACTCCTCCACCTACGAGCTGGACACCATCCAGCAACACCAGGCCTTCCTGTCCAGGTGGGCACAGCCGGCGGGGCTGCGGGTGCCGACTCCGGGGCCCACTCCAGGTGAGGGAGGAGGCTACAGGAGGATGGACAGCTCAGAGCTGGAGAAGTCAGGTGGGCTCTGTGGAGAGGCTGGGCCCTGCCATTGCCAAAAGTGTCCTGGCAGCTGCACTGGGTCCAGCCTGTCTTTCCTGAGCCTGGGGTTCCAGAAGGCCTGCCCCCTGAGCAGGGCCATGGCAGTGACCTCGGGCACCGCCATTCCAGCCTCCACGCCAGCGTGCTGAGGAGCGAGCCCAGTGCCCGCCGCTCGAGCAGCTCCACCGTGCTGGACAGCGCGGGGACGCTGAGCAAGTTTGACTTTGAGGTTGCTGATCTCTTCCTGTTCGGATGCCCACTGGGGCTGGTTCTGGCCTTGAGGAAGACAGTCATCCCTGCCCTGGATGGTGAGAGCCCTGCGGGAGCTGGGCGTTGGGTGGTGGGTGGCTGGAGGAGGGGTGGTCTCAGGAGACCCCTGTCATAGGGCTGTGGTCACGTCCCCGGGGCCCTCACAGCAGCAGCATCCTGGCTGTTCTCCTTTGCTCCTGTCCAAGCCACTTGGGCCCCCAGTACCTGTTGTTGCATCGCCTGGGAGCCCAAGGACCCTTCACAAGAAGCTGGGCCCCCACAAGGTCGGCTGGGACAGGACCAGTCCCAGGCACAATAGCTCCCTGCCCTCTGCTCCCCAACACACACTCAGGGTGAGATGTGAATCAAGACTGCCCCAAAGCCCCTGGGAGCCTTGAAGAGCCGGAACCTAGCTGCTCAGTGTCTGGGAGGCAGCACTGTGGGCTGAGCCTCCCCCAGGTCCTGTCCTGCACCCCTGGAGTCGGGCGGTGCAGCTCTGGGGAGCACAGGACTATGAGTGGAAGTGAGCTAAGAGAGGCGTAGGCACTAGCTGAGAGCAGGGGAGGGGTGGTGTGAGGTTAACAACACAGACCCCAGACTCGGCCACCAAGTAGGTGCAGCCTCCCCGCCCAGGCAGTGTGACACTGCCATCAAGACGCTGCTGCCCCCTGAACTATCTACGAAGCGGCCCACCCAGGTGCACCCACCCTCAGGGGCAGCATATGTGGCCATATCATTTGTAATCATCTAAGTCTAGAACCAACTTTAGCACCCATCCAGGAGAGAGAGGCTGGTTAGAAAAAAAAAAAAGTCCCCTTCAGACAGTGGAATGCCCTGAGCTCCATGCAGATGGGAAGGACTCTGGCGGCCTGTGCTTGGGGAGGGGGGCCACAGCCAGCGTGTCCCTGTCCGTGAGCAACAGCTGAGACTGTGAGGGCGCCTGGCTTCAATGCCTGACTCAACTCAAAAAACAAACAAAGAAAAAAACCTCTTTACTGGAAAGGCAGAGTTACAGAGAGAAATAAGAGACAATCTTATACTCACTGTTCACTCCACAGTATCCACAACAGCTGGGGCTGGTCCAGGCGGAAGCCAGGAGCCCAGAACTCCATCCAGGTCTCCTACATGGGTACCAGAGCCTAAAGAGTTGGGCCACCCACTGCTGCTTTCCCAGGCACATTAACGGGGCTGGATGGGAAGTGGAGCAATTGGGATTGAACCGATGCACCCATACAGGATGTTAGTGGCACAGTTTAGCCCGTTGTTCTGCAACACCAGCCTCTCTGGCTCCACTCTTGACTCTAGTTTCCTGCTGATGTTGTTCTTGGAGGAACAGTGGGCAATGGTTCAAGCGCTTGGGTCACTATGACCCGCATGCAATCTCTGGCTGCTGGCTTTGGCCCAGCCGCATCCTGGCTGTTGGGGACTTTGAGAACATGGGCATGCTCATATTTCTCTCTCTCTCTTTCTAAGTCAATAGAATTAAGTATATAGATGAAAGTGAGGCATAATGAGGTTTAGAATGTCCAGTGTATACTTAACGTTCTGTCATCTCCCTAACAACTCTGGGCAATGATTGAAAGAGCAGGTCCATTTTCCGGGTGAGAAGCCTCCCCAATGAGCCAGGTGGGAGTGGCCAGCCAAGGCAGGGAGCACCGTGGGCAAGGGTGACCATTCCAGGACTCCCAAGTCAAAGGCAGCCTCCTAGGCTGGCTCCTGCTGCTGAAAGCACTGTGCTGCCAGTGGGTAGGCACTGTTACAAAGAATGTCCAGGACATCAGAGGGACAGTGACCTAAGCAGACCCCAGAGGTAGCGACACCCCAAAGCTCTGAGCCAGCCCGTTCTCCCCACCCAGTTTTCCAGCTGCGGCCAGCCTGCCAGCAAGTCTACAACCTCTTTCACCCAGCGGACCCCTCAGCCTCCCGCCTGGAGCCACTGTTGGAGCGCCGGTTCCATGCCCTGCCGCCGCTTAGCATCCCCCGCTACCAGCGCTACCCGCTGGGGGACGGTTGCTCCACACTGCTGGGTGAGCGGCCCACAGCCCCACTTGGGACGGGTGAGAGCTGACCACCCGCCCCTCTGTCCTCCAAGGCAGGGTGACCCCATGGCGTTGCCTGAGCTCTGGCTTGTCCCTAAGTGGGAGGAGCACGGGGCACAGGGTATGGGGCAGGAGTGCGAGGGCATCCATCCTGCTCCTCCCATCTTTCCGAGAGCACAGGTTGCCTTTGGTGGGGTGGGGGAGAACGGGACCAGATGCCACCTCCCCCACAATCACTCCAGCCTCCCACCCGACAGCAACCCGCTAACTCCCCAGGACAGGACAGCACCAGCCAGGACCCCCGTCATGGCAGACGGTCACCCCGAAGCTGAGGGTGGGGAGGCAGAGGCAGGGGACGTGGCAGTGGGTCTGGGCTGAAGCACAGGCAAGGGCCTCCCTGGAGCCACCCTACCCTGCGTGTATCCCAGCGTCTTGTCTGTCCCAGTCCCCGAGGAACCGGCGTCCATGTTGCACCTGTGAGACGGCCCACAGGAGTGTCTGTTCTTGTCCTCTGTTCTCTCCCATCTGCCTCTAGTCGAAACCGTGCAGAGAAACCCCGAGCTGGTCCTGGAGGGCGGCCCCCTGGCCCCTCTCCCCCACGGGGATGGCTTCCTGGAAACCAGTATCCCCGTTCCCGCGCTCACCGGGCAAGACGGGCCACGCCAGAGCCCGGGCTGTGCTGAGTGTGTGTAACTCCCACTGGTGATGTCTGCTTCGCTGGCTCAGGGACCCCCACCCCACGCACATGCACACATGCCCTCTTTGGCCACTCGGAATTGGTAGGACCTTGGTGACAAGGACAGTGACCAGGCAGGCAGATCTCAGGGAACTGGCCTGGATGCACAGCACCCCAGCACCCTCTGTGAGGCTAGGGTGAGGCAGTGAGCCAGCCCGGGCCCACCCTGCACCTGGAGACGTCTTGGGTCCCAACAAGGGACGGGGTCCCCTAGGTCCTGCTCCTTCCCTCCCCCAGCCACACCCATCTCCCAGGACTGGCTCTGCCCTGGCCTCATTCCTGCCCAGGGAACCTGGTTAGAACCCTCAGTGCCTGCTCTTGACCCTGGCCTCTCCACGCAGCCTGTGAGCGAGGGATAAAGCTGCTCCCAGGCCCCTGTGGTGGTCAGTTGCCTCAATCCCAGGGAGCAGCCAGCACTGCTGCCCCCTGGGCAGGTGGAGAAGCTGAGAGTAGAAGGCGGTGGCCAGGAGGTTGGAAGCCCAGCATCTTGCCCCTGCCCTTTGTGCCTGTCTGCGTGCTGTCTGTTCTCCCTGCCTTGGCCCTGGTGTGGCTCCTCCCAGCCTAGGTGCATGCTAGACCCCAGCACACCAGCTGCCGGAGGCTGGGCTGGGCTGGTCTCACTGAGCCCCTGGTCCCTGTCCACCTGCAGCCGATGCCCTCCAGGCCCACAACACAGTCTTCCAAGAGCACGTGGCCCCCTCCTCACCCAGCACAGCCCCCGCAGGTCGTGGCTTCCGGCGGGCCAGTGAGATCAGCATCGCCAGCCAGGTTTCCGGCATGGCCGAGAGCTACACAGCATCCAGCATCGCTCAGAGTAAGTTCCATGTCCTCCTCACCTGCCACACTGCTTCCCCCACCCACCCCACCCTTGCCCGGTGTCTATGGGACAGGCTGTGTGTCTGGCAGGATGTGGGTAAAGGACAGGGGTGCTTGCCAAGCACCTCACAGCACCAGGTTGGCAGTGTTGGCAGTGCCCACGTTGGGAGACACAGCCTTATCAGGAGGGCTCCAGGAGCTGGCTCAGCCTCTTGTGGGTCCTTCCCACTGGGAAGCCTCCAACAGCAAGAAGCGCAGCACAGACCAACTCCCATTCTGTGCTGGCGGTCCAGCAGTCATGTCCTTGTTTGAGGGGAACCCTGTCTTCCATGACCCCAGGACTCCTAGCTCTCTCCGTGGCAGGAGCGGTGGCCCTCAGTGTGGCTGAGCCGTCCCCCCCTCCTTGTTCTTGCTTCTCAGAGGCCCCTGTGTCGCTCAGCCACACCCCCAGCGTCAGGCGCCTGTCCCTGCTTGCCCTGCCCTCCCAACCCCCAACCACCCCCAGGCCCCACCCTCGGGCCAGGCAGGCCAGCCCCAGCCTGGAGAAGCCCCCCCACCTCCCTGACTGGAACATCGAAGAAGGTACTGACCTCCACTCACACCCTCCCCTCTAACTTGGGTCACTCAGTGCTTCCAGGCACGCCTCATCAACTCACGGCCAGTCCCTGCCCACTCAAACCCATGCTGAGGTCCTGCAGGGAGCTGGGACATCTGGGGAGGGAGCCGGAGTGGTTGCCACTGGCTGAGGGTCAGGGGTCCCTGTAGAACTGGAGAGTCCGTGGGAGGACCAAGGAAGCTACAGAGCATCCTACCCCATAACATGGACTGCAGGCAGAACTCAGAGAGAGAAAAGAGGTGGTTCACCAGACACCTCCACCCTCCGTATTCCTAACCAACTGTCCTGCTGCTTCCAGGGCTGGCCGGGGCAGCCCCTTTGCTGGGGAGCACTGAGGGAGGGCCACAGCCACACAGGGACAGCTCCTGCCACCACAGCCAGCCAACCTGTCCTGGCCTCTCTACCCCCATCCCTGCTTTCCTCTGCCGCCTGCCTGTGGGAAGCTTTGCTTTAGTTGAAGTTGAAGCTGAATGGGCCTGGGTCTGGGCCTGGGTGGCCCTTGTGGGGAGGGGGGTCCTGCCCAGGTGCCCACATAGTCACAGCTCCTCCTCCCGGCAGTCGCTGCCAAGTGGTGGGGCCAAAAGCGGATCGACTACGCCCTGTACTGCCCCGATGCCCTCACAGCCTTCCCCACCGTGGCCCTGCCCCACCTCTTCCACGCCAGCTACTGGGAGTCAACAGATGTGGTCTCCTTCCTGCTGAGACAGGTACCTGGGGGTCCTACCACTGTAACACCCAAGCCTCCACCGAGGGCCCCAACATGACCTCATTTCATAGATGAGGGGATGGTGGAGGGCCCCTGCCCCCGCCACCCAGCAGACCTCACTGTCAGCCTGACAGAGGAGCCCTTGCCCTGGCTCAAGTTCTGGCTCCAGGATGTTGGGATGATGGGATGGGGGAGGTGGGGGGGAAGGGTGGGAGGAGATTGGGAGAGGGAGCAGGTGAGAGCTATGGGGGTTCAGTGGTGTCCCCTTGTGCTGGCTTCTGGGGTCTGCCAGCATGAGCAGCTCCAGGCTTGAGCCTGCCCCATAGCCTCCATCCCACTCTCGGCCCAGGTCATGAGGCATGACAATCCCAGTGTCTTGGAGCTGGATGGCAAAGAGGTGTCAGTCTTCACGCCCTCAAAGCCCAGAGAGAAGTGGCAGCGCAAGAGAACCCACGTGAAGCTGCGGGTGAGGGGTCCTCCAGGCCTGGGCCTGGCACTGCTATCCTGTTGCCTGTTCCTCTGCTTGTCTGAAAGGCAGAGCAACAGAGAGAGATCCTGCACCTGCTTCATTCCCTAAATGGCTGTAATGAGCAGGGCTGGTCCAGGCAGAAACCAGGTGCCAGGAACTCCATCCTGATATCCCACAGTGGTGACAGGGGACAATGTATTTGGGGCCATCTTCTGCTATCTTCTTAGGCATGTTAGCACAAAGAGCTGGATAGGAAGTGGAGCAGCTGGAACTTGCTCCAGCACTCCATTATGGGATGCCTCCACAGTGCCATGCACAGGAACCATGCCCTTACTCCCTCATCCTGTTACAGATGAGAACTCCTGGTGCCCGGGAGGCAGGCTGGTTGTGGGTCCCACACGGTCCTGAGAGGGTGCATGGCAGCTTCGTCACTTCTCCACAGCCAGGCAGTCACACGCCTCAATAGGACAGGAGCTGGACCTGGATCTGGACTCACGGGAACCTGAGCTCAGCCCAGCAGGTCCCAGGCATCCCCTACCCCAGCCCTAATTGCCTGTGCTCCACCTCTCCCACCCAGAACGTGGCAGCCAACCACCGGATCAATGATGCCATCGCCAATGAGGATGGCCCCCAGGTGGTGACAGGCCGGTTCATGTATGGGCCCCTGGACATGGTGACCCTCACTGGGGAGAAGGTAGGGACATAGGGCCCCAGGGAGTTCCCTGCCTCCCTCTGGCTGCAGCACAGCCCATGACCGGCCTGCCTGGATCCCCAGGTGGATGTGCACATCATGACACAACCGCCCTCGGGTGAGTGGCTGTACCTGGACACACTGGTGACCAACAGCAGCGGACGTGTCTCCTACACCATCCCCGAGACACACCGCCTAGGCGTGGGTGTCTACCCCATCAAGATGGTGGTCAGGTATGCCCTCCACTCGGTACACTGGAGGGTGGAAGGAGGAGCCATGTCTGGTTCTGACCCCCAGTGTCCTGCTGCCCAGGGGGGACCACACCTTTGCCGACAGCTACATCACTGTGCTGCCCAAGGGCACGGAGTTCGTGGTCTTCAGCATCGATGGCTCCTTTGCTGCCAGCGTGTCCATCATGGGCAGTGACCCCAAAGTGCGGGCCGGGGCTGTGGATGTGGTACGGTGAGTGGCTTTGGTAGCACAATGGGACTGCCAACTGGTGGGTGGGCTCAGGAGCAAGAGCCTCCTGCAGGCCAGGTGTGTGGGGTGGTGAGGATGCACAGGGGGACACTGGAGGCCCCTCTGTGCCTGGTGAGGACCCATTGGGGGACACTGGAGGCCCCTCTGTGCCTGATGAGGACCCACTGAGGCACTGGAGGTCCCTCTGTGCTTGTGAGGACCTTCAGAGAGACACTGGAGGCCCCTATGGGCAGGTTCCCTGCTCACCTGGAGTGGAGAGGGTGGCTGTTAGGTCCCTAAGAGGACCATGTACCTGGCCAAGTGCAAACCCCCATGACAGTTAACCATGGCCTACCTCACTGCCATGGCCAGCATTGCCACTGCTGTCAGAAATACAACCCATGTGGGGACTGGCCGGGCAGGACGTAGGAAAGCCCTTGGGACACCAGGCCCTCCTCTCCCCCACAGGCACTGGCAGGACCTGGGCTACCTCATCATCTATGTGACGGGCCGACCCGACATGCAGAAGCAGCGGGTGGTGGCATGGCTGGCCCAGCACAACTTCCCCCATGGCGTGGTGTCCTTCTGCGACGGCCTGGTGCACGATCCGCTGCGGCACAAAGCCAACTTCTTGAAGCTGCTCATCTCTGAGGTGGGGTCCCAGGGCTTGAGGGCTGGGCAAGGGGCAGCAGTAGAGGTGGGCTGGGGGCACCATGCCCACCCCCACACTGGTCTTGTCCACAGCTCCACCTGCGTGTGCACGCGGCCTATGGCTCCACTAAGGATGTGGCGGTCTACAGCTCCATCAGCCTGTCGCCCATGCAGATCTACATCGTGGGCCGGCCCACCAAGAAGCTGCAGCAGCAGTGCCAGGTGAGCGGGCAGGAGGGCAGGGACCCAGGCAGACAGCTGGCTCCAGAGTTCTGCCCACTTCACGACAACCCACCCTGCTCACTGCTCCTCCCCTGCAGTTCATCACGGACGGCTATGCAGCCCACCTGGCCCAGCTCAAGTACAACCACCGGGCACGGCCAGCCCGCAACACAGCCACCAGGGTGGCACTGCGCAAGGGCAGCTTTGGCCTGCCTGGCCAAGGCGACTTCCTGCGCTCCCGGAACCACTTGTTGCGTACTATCTCAGCCCAGCCCGGTGGGGCCAGCCACCGACATGAGCGGACGCAGAGCCAGGCAGACAGCGAGCAGCGGGGCCAGCGCAGCATGAGCATGGCAGCCAGCTGCTGGGGCCGCACCATGGCCGGCCGGCTCGAGCCAGCGACAACTGCGGGCCCCAAGTAGAGCACGTCGGTGAGGCGCTGCGGCCCCCACGGTGCCAGGGTGCAGACACAGGCCAGGAGCTTGCCCAGGGCCCCCATGGAGGACACAGGCCACACCACACAGTCCTCCCAGCCCTGCCTCCTTTTCTCGGGTTCAAGGACAGCCAGCCCTAGGATGACCAGGGAGGACCAGGGCTCCTCACTCAAGACTGGCCTGGCCTGGGAGGCACCTCCAGCCCTGCATTGACCTCCAGCACCTGGTGCCAGGTGTGGGCCCGGCTCCAGTCTGCCACCTCCTTGTCCTCCGATTCACCCTCCCTCCACCACTCCCCAACACCCAGTAACGGCTCCAGCTGGGGCACAGCTTGGTTCTTGTTGACACAAGTCACTCAACTGTTCAACCTCATGGATTTTGCACTGGATTCTGAGAGCAGAGACCTAACACCACCTCTGGCTGTAGACTTCTTGACATGCATGAAAGCTGTGCATGAAAACGCCTCCGTCTATACGGGCACGGGACCGACTGCCCTGCGGAATGTTCCAGTGCAGTGGGCCCTCACGTGAGCAGGAGAGAAAGGCCATATCTTCATTTATGCAGCCCCACCTGGCTGCCCAGACCCCTGGCCACGGTGAGCCTACCTACCAGGAGCCTGGTCCAGATGTGGACCTGCTGGCATTCCGAAGCCCTGGGCGCAGCCCAGTCCTGGGCCACAGGGTCTGGCTGGGCCTACCCTCCTCGTCCTTGCCCTGCCAGTGGCTGAGGCCCCATGCCGCAGCCCTCTGACCGGCCCGCCAGCGTTTCTACCGCCTTTTTACGTCTCAGTCTGATTTCTATGAGGTTTTTTAAATGAGCAACCCTTGGCTGCTTCCTTTTCTTAACTCTTTCAGTCCCAAACGCAGCCCCTCCACACAACACCCAGCACTGTGACCAAGTCCAGCCTGGTTCTGGGTCCTGGGGAACCCTAGAGTGTGGGCTCCCTGCCTCACCCATTCCCCTGTAACCCCAATGGGTTTCTACTCTGAGGTGGGTGGGTGGGGAGACATACCCCTAGATCTTTTTAATGCCAGTTCACATTCAATGCTGAAGCCAAGAAGCCACAGCTCGCTTGGTTAGCCCAAGGGTGGGCAGCAAAAACTCAATCTCCCCCTGGCAAGGAGCTTGGCATCCACCCCCCTCCAGCACCAGGGACCAGGCTGTCCCCACCCCAGACGCTGCCATCAGCCTGGTCCTGCCCTCGGGCTCCCAGGGGCGGTGCACAGAAGGGCCATCCCTTCCCCGTGTGTAGATATGTACAGTCCCCGGAACGTGTAAATGTTGTGCAGAAGGTCTATACAGAGGGAGAGTTATTTATTTTGTGCAGAGAAAGCCGCCTGGAGGGCAGGAGCCTTCAGGGTTTGTTCCTATTTAAGATGTTGCGTTCTGTTGTTTCAAGCCTGGACTACTCTATGGACCAATTTCCCATGTAACTGTTGCAGTAAAAGTGCAATACATATGCGCCCCACTCCCACAGGAGGCACCCCACTCCCACAAGAGGCACCCCACTCCCACAGGAGGTGCCGGCCCGACAATCACCACCCTGCTGAAGGCCTGTGGCCAGCACCTCCTCCTCCCCCAGTGTTGCCTGCTGCCTCGGTGACCAGCCATCCAGAGAAGCACCTGCAAGTCTCAGCCGCCTGCAATAAAGGCCCAGGAGGCTGCCCAGTGTGAGAAGGCCCTGCAGGCACTGGGGTGGGCTGTCCCCAGGAGCCACCACCCGCCCCGCCCCGGCTCTGTGCTCCCCGCCTGCCCACTCGGCCGCAGCCATGCCAAGGACAACAGCAATAGTTTCTGGGCCTCTCCCAGTGGCCCTCAGCCATAGACGGTGAGGGGCAGCCCACCCTCCCCACTTAAGTCTTTTCTGTATCCAGGTCTGCTTGCTGCCGCCCTTAAGATTCTTTCTGGCACATTCTCTCGAGGAAGCACCCATTTCTCAGAAACAGAGAGGGAGGGCAGAGTCCTTGAAAAATACCAAAAATGTTTACAGCGCCGGGTGCCGAGCCTTGGCGTTCGGCCCGGCCAGTCATAACCAAAGGGTAAGGCAGGCCTAGCTGACTGCCACCCCACCCCTGGCCTGTTAGAGTAGAAGCCTTAGCCCCACTCCCACCTGCACCCTGAACCCCACATCTAACCACCTGTCCCCTCCAACCTTGAAGGGGGGAGTCGGCAGAGATCCTGCCGCTTCCTGGCTCGTCTGAACTGCCACCCACTTGTCTGCAGCCTCCCTGTTGGCCCCGCTGTGTGAGTGTGTGTGTGTGTGTGTGTGTGTGTGTGTGTGTGTGTGACAAAGAGCGCAAGCGCAGTGTCCTGCCCTCACCCTGCCCATCCCCGTGGTCCCCACGTCCTTGCGCCTCAGTGTGTTCTGTATCATGTCACTGTCTGTTACACCAATTAAAGGAGCAGAAGGCTTCCCTGGGGTCTCATGACTGCACTGCGCTACAGGCATGGCAGGGGAGGCGGGGCGGGCAGCAATGCCAGCAGGGCACAGTGCAGGGCTCCCTAGCAGCCGCCACAGGGATGCTGGCTGGCCTGGGATTGCACCGGTAGCACCTTGTCCCCAGGCGTCTCCAGCTCAGGATTTCAGCCGGGGAGAGCGGGGACAGGGGAGCAGGGGGACATCCATGCCATCCCCAAAGGTCCGACGGCAGTTTTCTCCAGCAGTTAAGTGGCGCCTGCCCCACCTACCCATCACACAAAAACGAGACAAGCAGTTCCAGCCAGGACACGTTTACTGTCAGGGACCCATCCTCCAGCTAGATAGTGGCCCCTCAAGCCTGCATCCGGGCAGTGGGGCCAGCGGGGCCTTCAAGGAAGCAGCCCAGCTCGCATCTGGAAGGCCAGGCCGTCCCCTCGCGTGGCTTGCTGGGAAGGAAAACGGGCAGGGGAGGGGTATCAGGGCAGCGCTGGGGCTGGCCCGGGGGCACAGGGGGGCAGCACCAACCTTGTTGATCTCTCTGTGCCGCTCTTTGGTGACGATCTCCTCCAGGACCTCGCCATCTCCCTTGATGAGCCTGAGGGCGGGGTGGGGGCCGTCAGCCAGCTCAGCCACAGCTCACAGCAGGCCTGAGACACAGGGGATGCCCTTAGGGACACAGAGCGGCCCGGTGCCTCTCCACAGGTGCCCTCACCTGGTGCGCCCGGTCTCGGGGTCCAGCACCCTGCGGATGACGCTCTGCCGTGCGTCCCACTCCTCCTTGGTCATGGGCTTCATGGCCTGGATGCGGGACTTCTGCTCGTCTGTCAGCACTGCAGGGAGAGACAGGGAGTTGGGGGCGCCCTGGGCAGGGAGGCGGCATCGTCTTCCCACAGGCCAGGCCGCCCCATACCTGGGCCATCCCCAGCCGCACGGTGCCACTGGTCCAGCGAGGGCCCAGGCAGGGCCTCGGCCGACTGCGCCTCCAACTTCTTCAGCTGCTTCTTCCTCCTCCTCCTCTTCTTCCTCTTCTTGTGCTTCCCCCGCTTCTTCCGGCCCCGGCTCGAGGAAGAGGAGGACGAGGAAGAGCAGGACGACGAGCTGGATGAGCTGGAAGAGGTGGACGAGCTGGAGGAGGACGAGCCGCGGCGTGGTCTCCGCTCTGCCTTGTGCTTGCTTCTCCCTGGGAGTCTGGAGGAAGGAGAAGCTGGAGAAGAAGAGACAGCTGCAGGGTGCGACCCCAGGCCCGCTCTCCAGCTGCTCTCCTGGCCCTCTCCCCCATGGGTCCTTACCCGCCACACTGGTGCACTCAGCCCTGCTTCGGGACCCAGAGGAGCTGTCCTTCTTCCTCTTCTTCTTCGCCCCTCGTCCCCGAGACCGACTGCGACTCCTCGATCGCTTGCGGGAACCCATGTGAGCCATGGTGAGCGGGCTGCGAGGGGCAGAGGGCTCAGCAGCTGCTCTCCCTGGAACCTGTCCTCCAAGTCCCTTTAAGGGCCCCGCCCCGTCCTCACACTCACCCCCACCCAGGGTCCCCATCCCCACTCACCCCTGAGGGTCCCTGTCCCTGTGCTCACCACCCCAGGGTCCCCATCGCTGGCTCACCCCCAGGGTCCCTGTTTCCGCACTCACCCCCACCCCAGGGTCCCTGTGCCACACTCACCTCCCCACCCCAGGGTCCTCATCCCCGCACTTACCCCTGAGGGTCTCCGTCCCCCCACTCACCCCTTGGGTCCCCGACCCCGTGCTCACCCCCACCCCAGGGTCCCCATTCCACGCTCACCCCCCCGCCAGGGTCCTTGTTTCTGTGCTCATCCCCGCAGGGTCCCCGGCCCCGCGCTCACCCCCAGGATCCGCATCCTTACATTCACCCCCACCCCAGGGTCCCCGGCCCCGCGCTCACCCCCAGGATCCGCATCCTTACACTCACCCCCACCCCAGGGTCCCCGGCCCCGCGCTCACCCCCAGGGTCCCCATCTCCGCGCTCACCCACCCCAGGGTCCGGGCAGCTCCGCTCCCGCCGCCACAGCCGAGCAGCCCGTTCCCACAGCACGCCTGCGCTTCCGGCCTGGGCGGTGCCGGGGAGGCCTTCCGGCTGGAAAGCCAAGCCCTGGCACTTTGGGTCCGGGAGACAGAGGTTCCGCGCCCAGCTCGTCAGGTAGCGGTCCCAGAACACCCCAGCCCCCGAGCACCCCAGCTCCCCAGCTCCCGAGCACCCCAGCTCCTGAACACCCCAGCCCCCGAGCACCCCAGCTCCCCAGCTCCCGAGCACCCCAGCTCCCGAGCACCCCAGCCCCCGAACACCCCAGCTCCCCAGCTCCCAAGCACTCTAGCCCCCGAGCACCCCAGCCCCCGAGCACCCCAGCTCCCGAGCACCCCAGCCCCCGAACACCCCAGCTCCCCAGCTCCCAAGCACTCTAGCCCCCGAGCACCCCAGCTCCCGAACACCCCAGCCCCCCCCCGAGCACCCCAGCCCCCCGAGCACCCCGCACCTTACACCCGCCCCGTCGCTCCCTCAGCCCCAGGCGCCCTCGCCGGCAAGGCAGCGGCCGCCAGCCCGGGGCCTCTCCGTCTCCCCACAGCTCTTCCAGGACCCGAGGCGGGCGGCCACAGCCACGGCCTCGCCCAGCTCCGGACCGGGACGGCCGCCCCACAAAGACGCAGAGCCGGTTCGAGATGGTTCGCGGTGCCCGGTAGGCCGGGCGCTTTATTTCCGCCTGCTCAGGTCAGCGCGCACACGTCCAGCGTGGCGGGCTCGTCGCGCGTGAAGCCGTCGCCGAAGTCCTCGGCGTCCGCCAGCTCGGGCGGGCGGCGGCACATGGGGCACCGGCGGTTGCGCACGGCCGAGGCCCGCAGCCAGACGACCAGGTTCCAGCGCTCGCCGCTGCCCAGCGGCCGGGCTCCGTGCAGCTGCGCGCCGCGGTGCAGCAGCCCCTGGCCCACCACGTGCTGCACCTCCAGGGGCTCCGGGCCGGCGGGCGCCTGCAGGGGCAGCGGGGCTCAGGGCTGGCCGGCCACGGGAGGGGGCCTGCCCGGCCACGGGAGGGGGCCTGCCCGCCGGGCGCCCACGCTCACCTCCGCCAGCTCCCCGAAGTACAGGGCGCCCCCGGTGAAGTCCTTGCCCAGGGCCACGTTGAGGGTGAGCTCGGCGTTGTCGTAGTGGCAGCCCAGCTCGCGGTCCTGGCCCAGGGCGTACTTGACCACGAAGGCGCGGTGGCTGTCCAGCCGGCCCCCGCCGCACTCCGGGTACAGCAGGGCCGTCAGCGGCTGCAGGAAGCGCTCCCGCAGCGGCGTGACGAGCGGCTCGTCCAGGCCCAGCTCCCGCAGCAGCACCTGGGAGGGGGGCCGTGGGTCAGCTGCTGACCAGTGGGGCCCCTAAAGCCGGGAAGAGGAGAGGGACGGGGGACAGGGCTTCCCACCCAGGGCATCCCTGAGTACCAACACCAGCCCCGCCCCCAGGGCTAAGCCCCGCCCCCAGGCCAGAGCCCCGCCTCCCAGGATTAAGCCCCGCCTCCCGGGCTGATGCTCGCCTCCCAGGGCCAAGCAGTCCAGCCCCCGCCAGGCCTCACCCCGTAGTTGTTCATGCTGTTGGGCCTGCCCTTCGGCAAGTCCGACTGCTCGAAGTGCTCCAGCTCCTGCAGCAGGGCTCGGCAGAACGGCGCGGCCAACACGGGCACCCGGTAGATGCGCTTCCTCTCTGGGGAAGGAGAGGTGCTCGGTGGGCGGGGAGCCGTGCAGAGGGGCCTGGGCAGCTCCCCCATTTGCACCAGCGGCAGTGTGTGCCCCGCTGGCCATCTCGCTCCTCCCCCAGGTCAGGCCGCTGTATCCGGCCACCGAGCCAACTTAAGGCTCTGACTGCACGGCCTCCCCAGATCTGCACTCCAACGCTTCAGTTGGTGTGTGCTTTCCAGCCAGGCCCTGGGCAGAGGCTGGGGGGAGTGGAAACCGGAACACCTCTTGACTCAGCTGTCTCTGCCTTGGCGTCCTGGGGGAGGAGCCCGCTGTCCCAGGCCTGCAGACCCTGTGGGCAGGCACAAGTGACTCCCAGGGGGCCCCCTGGATCTTCCAGCTCCTGCTGGTTTCGTTTGTCCTAACCTACATTCCCCAGCCCCAAGACCTCACCCGACACAGTGTCCAGCCGCTGGAGAAGGCCCTCCAGGTTGGCGCCTGGGGAGGCACTGTACCGGACTGCAGCCAGAAACTCAGGTGCCAGAGAGGCCTCCTGGAGGGCAGAGGGAACACAGCCGTGAGCTCAGGGTGCTGCCCTCCCGGCAGGCGCTCCCCTGACCCGGGCACCCTGCCTGGCACCTGCAGCAGATTGTAGACATCAGGCCGAGCTGGTTGGTAGCGGCTGGAGATGAGGGCTTTCCTGACAGCAGACTCCTGTGCCTGCCGCCGGCGCCGTTCCACCTCCTGCTGGAGCTGGGGGCAAGGATGTGGGGGAGTGGACCCCCGGAAAGTCACATCAGGTCCCCTATATGTTGGCTGCAGGGGGTTCTGCTAGAAGCCCCCAACCAGGCTGCAATGAGGGCCCCTGGGCCACTCCGGTAGGGGAATGCAGTGACATGCTGGGGTCCCATAGAAGAAGGAGTGCCCCCCTCTACCAACCAGCCACAACCTCCCCAGAGAGTGGGATGCTGCTGGGGGCGGGGCAGCCTCAGTCCCACCTACTGAGGGGCCTTGGGCAAGTGGCTCCTGCCTCCCAGGTGAGGGTGTGAGACCCCGGGGGTGGCGAGGGGGAGGTGGGCACCCAGGGCAGGTGCTGGAAGCCGGGGTCCTGTGGGTGTCAGACCCCGGGGTGGCAAGGGGGAAGTGGGCACCGCAGAGGCAGGTGCTGGACGCGCCTGAGGCCACAGAGAGGCGCTGGACGTTACCTCGGCCAACAGCTGCCGGAAGTCCTCGGCGTCCACACAGCCCCGGCCGCGCAGCACCTGCGGACAGCGAGCGTGTCCGGCTTCGCCGAGCACCGAGCGGGACTCCCGGCACCCCTTCTCCCGC